TTTGTCCCAAGGTAGACCTTTTAGTACTTGATATTTAAAAAAAATTATTAAAATCGGTCTACAACTTCAAATTTTAGGAGGGTGTTTCCATTAAAAATTGGTCACACTGTATAAAGGTTTTCCCGCACAGTTATTTTCGATGCACAGGTACTTAACATTTTACCAGTGTGAAGTATTTTGAATATCAAAACAGACGTTCTCCAGAATTTTATAAAATTCAGAAAATCATGTCATTCCCAAAAAAATATAATTGAGACAATCAGAACATTTCAGTTGAATTTCTATATTTTCTTCCTTTTAGTTACACAACAGAAGTGAAATCAATGACGATAATAAAATAGACAATGTATGTTTGATTAATCATCACTGAAGATTTATCTGAAATTTGCGGAATAATGAATGATCACTTTGTTGCAATTGGAAAAAATTACTTCTGCTATTCCAAATATTTCAAAACGACCTGAAAACATTCGAGTCTCATCTATGTTTTCCACAGGTCATTGAGTTCAATTGAAATTGAAAACATGAAAGAGTATTTTAATCGAAGAACAGCTTCTGGATATGATGATATTAGTACGAATATTGCTAAAGCAGTCGAAACTGAAATCTCACCAAATTTGTTCTTCATTTTTTCGAAATCTTTTGAAAATGGTATAATACCTAACAGTATGGAAATTGCAAAAGTTAAACCTGTTTATAAGAATGGCAAAAAATATGATTCTCACAACTACTGCCCGACCTCGGTATTATCTGTTTTTTCCAAAATTTTAGACCGATTGATGCATAAAAGATTAACCGATTATTTGGAAAACAATCATCTTTTATGTAGTACTCAGTATGTTTATCGCAGGTCTAGAGATACAGAGGCAGCAGCAATGGAAGTCATTTTAAAAATTCAATCTGAAACTGAAAATAATAAAAAATCTTGCCTCTTGTCTTTAAATTTGTGTGAAGCAACATGATATATTGATCCCAAAACAAAACAATTTTGGTATTAGAGGGAGTGTCCTCCATTAGTTTGTGAAATATATCAGTTAAAGGCAACAATACGTTTGCATAGAAAATCAAAGAAGTTCCATAAGGCAAATAATTTTTGCAGTACCGCAAGGATCTATTCTTAGTCCACTCCTTTAAGTCATACAATAACCCATTAACAAATTCACCTTTGAAGGAATCAGTTAAATTATTTGCCGATTATACCACAATTATATAATCTTCGGATGATTACGACAGAATTATTGATATAAAAACAGACATGAAAACAATTTCAGGTTGGCTATAAGAAAATAAATTGACTTTGAATTTCCAAAAATCTTCGTATATGAATATTTCAAAAAATATATTTAACAGTTGTGCCAGTCCTATAATAATTGATAACAATTCAATAAGTTATACGAACTCTATTGAATTCCTAGGATTATATATTGAGGACAAAATATATTGGATTTTTTCGAAAAATAGTAGCACTCCTCATTGTTATCCTATTCAAAATAAGGAACTCTATTTTCCTAGAATTTTTGAATTATATTCATCTCAATCTTATATACTTACAACTGTTTAAAATAATTATGACATGTCTGTTTAAAAAATCTGTTTAAAATCTGTTTTTCCGTTAACCAGCTGTCGCACCCCTACGAACGACAACCCTCAGAAGTATAAACTTGTGCGAGCTAAGGATTAACGAGGTCTTACCTTTTAACGTGTGATTCCTAACACGGGTTGGACGGTAGCAAGTGAAGATCGATCGTTCAGACTAGGGATTGAACCACCGACCAACACGGCAGTCAATTCGAGTGAGTGAACAAAGCACCCACGCCGAACCGCNCCCATGGGATATTCCAAATATTTCAATAATCTGTAATAATCTGTAACAAATCAAATGAAATATTGAAGAGTTTTTGGAGTAGAGGTTGCCATTCTGTTTTGACTCTCTTTATAATTTTGGTTGTATTATCATCAAATCCAGAGGCTTTTTCTGTACTTAAATCATCAATTTTTTCTTCTATTCCATCATAAGCTACTAGCTTCAAACAAATTGATTGTGGATAACTTATTCTTCTTATTTTCTCAGTAGTCACGTTAGTGGATGATAGTTTTGAACCAATATTTACATATTGGTTACATATTTTTCTTTCGAAACCTGAACAGAAAAATCATCAATCAACTAATACTACATGAGTTTCTGGATATCCAAATATTTAATTTTAACATTAACTTCCCAATAGATTAGAAGATTCTTCGGAAATTAGCGTAGAGACAACCCTCTACGACACCTTTGGCATAGGATCAACAGATTCAGAAAATTTTGAAATCAGGACCATTGTGAACTTCTCAAGAGGCTTTGCTTTCGGTTATTTGAATGGCAAAATCCATATTTATGAAAGAGAAACCCCCAACAAATTCAGAAAGAGAGGTGTATTCAGAATACCGGATAGAACAATCCGTAGAGAATACGAAGAGGAACCAGAAGTTATTACAACCGTCAATACCATCGCTATAAATCCATCCGAGGACAGGTAAATACCTCTAGTGATTTTTGGTGAAAATTAAATTCATTTCTCGTCATTGATTTTTTGTGTGCAGTGCAGATATACTGGCAAAGGTTAGGTTGAAAAACAATTTAAAAATAATTCGCCTTTGCTCATCAGTTCGAATTATATTTTGTTATTGTATGAAAAATATATTAATATTATGCGAGTACCAGAGGGTATTCCAAAGAAGCTCTTAGGGGTAATCATTTCCGATCCAAATGAAACCAATTTGTCTTCACATTATTTTGGTTTTTGAAATCCTGTGGATCTTATTCAATGTTTGAGGTTTTATGTCTTTCAAATATATCCAAAATTTCATTTTGAAAAGGTAGATGATGTTACCTACAGAATGAATTCTTGGAAATTCCCATTTCATAAAAATGAATCCCAGATCAACAACGTAAAAAAAAAAGTGAAAGATTTGTCACTGGTAGAACCTTCGCCAATCAGGACCCGGCAAAGGAAGGAATCGTAGATCAATAATTATTTTTCGGAATTGTAAACAAGTGAAGATCGATCGTTCAGACTAGGGCTTGAACCACCGACCAACACGGCAGTCAATTCGAGTGAGTGAACAAAGCACTAAGGCCGAACCGCTTGGCTACCGACCGACCGACATATTCTCAGTTAATGCCAGTTGAACAGTTAGAAATGTCAATTGTATTGTGACAACGTTAAAAAATAGTTTTTCAGTTAATCTTGATTGGATTCATAAAATAAAAACTGTATAATCGAACGACAATTATATTATCTTATTTTTATTCGGGGATCAGCCAATAAATCCACAATGAAACAATTGAAATCTTCCCAAAATAAAACTATTGAATGCGTATATAAACTATCGTACTCAAAAACAGGAACTATATTCCTCTTAAATAATAATTTCAGTCTTATAGAACGACAATTATATTATCTTATTTTCATTCGGGGATCAGCCAATAAATCCACAATAAAACAATTGAAATATTTCCAAAATAAAACTATTGAATGCGTATATAAACGTACTCAGAAACAACAGTGAATTTGTATAAACATGAAAATTTATTGGATTTGAAAACACTATACAAAGGAAAAATTTGTTGTTCCATCCATTCACGAATAAATACAAAATTTCTAACACAAATTTATCAGAAATCAATAATAGTCACAGTCATAACACTTGACAAACAAAATTATTATCAATTAGTTCTTTCAAATCTAATTTTGGACAGGAATCGATTTATCATGATTGAATTATAATATATAATACAATTTCTGAAGAGATAAAAAAATCTAATACTGTCAATTTGTATATGTTAAGCCCAATACCTATTTATTTTGAATCGGCTTCCTTTTGTTGGTGTATTAATTGTAAAAGTAAAGGTCCTATCATAGATCT